TATTGTTTAAAATTATACTCTCTCCGTCCCAAAAAGTCTGTCACGTTTCGAAAAATTTGCGTCCCTTAAAATCCGTCTCATTTCTATTAAAAAACCACTTTTACCCCTTACTTTTTCATATCTTACCTATCATTAGGGGTGCATACAAATCAAATAAAACGTATTCGATTCGTGATTCATATTCGAAAAAGATGATTCGTATTCGCTATATTCGAATTCGAATCCGAATACAAATCTTATTTTAGATTCGAATTATTTTCGAATTTGAATACAAATATTAATAGATTCGATTCGTTTATTATTCAAATTATTCAAATATCATAATTTATAAATAAATTTATATATATTCTAATATATTAAATATTTGTGTACATATAAATTTATATATATTCGAATATTATAATTTAAAAATAAATTTATATATATTCTAACATATTTTTACTATATTTTAATTTTTACTACATTTTACATTATTATAAAATAATAATTTAATGTATTTAAGAAATTTTTTTTAATAAAAAATTACCAATATTTTCGAATCGAATACGAATTCAAATATGTCAAATATCTATTGAATCGAATACGAATATTTTTTAAAATTCAAATTATATACGAATCCGAATTTGAATATATATATATATATATATATATATATATATATCACTTTAATCGAATACGAATCGAATAGTGATATATTTGCTTCGATTCGATTCGTATACATCGCTACCTATCATATCATCTTTTTTACCTAATAATCTACCCATCACATCCTACTTTTATCCATTATATCAAGAATATTTTTGGAAAGTCAACACAAAATTATCCCTCTTTATTTTACCACTTTAGTCAAACTGTCTTAATCTTTTTGGGACGGAAGGAGTACCATAATACAATACTTTAAATATATACAGAGTATATCTTATGTTACATAAAACTTTTCAACTCTTACATCTCACTTATCTCATAAAATATTTCAATTTTGTTTAAATGAATACAATTATTTTTGAGTTTCTTAAATCTAACCAAATTTATCTCACCTACGTACACTCACTATGCTCATTTTGAAATTTTTCGGGTCCTAGATTCCATTGCGGTCGTTTCATTTAGGTCAATAAATCTAACTCCTTCCTCCTTTTCGCTTCGTCTCCTTCCCCCCCTCCCCCCAATTCCTCTTCAGTTCTGTTCCTCTTTTTATTTTTCTTCTTCTTCTTTTTCTTCTTTTTCTTCTTCTTCTCTTCCTGAAATTCTTCTCTTCCCTCTCTCCCAGATCTACACTAGATCTGTACTAGATATTCTTCTCATCTTCTTCCCTTCTTTTTTCTCTTCCCCTTTTATCTTTCTCCGGGAGGAGATGGTAGCGGCTAGGGATGATACTGCGACTGATGGTGAGTGGTTACGTTGGGGCTGAGGGGCGATTGTGGTGGGGGTTGGGTCAATTGTGGTAGAGGTGACCGCGACGGTGGTTGGGGCTGGGTCAATTTTGGCGGAGCTGATGGCGACAATGGAGCCGGGGATGATGGCGGTGGTGGGTGCTAGTCCTGGCAGAGATCAGGGGAGGGGAGGGCAGGGTTGGGTTGTAAAACAGGAAAGAAATGAAGGGTATGTTGGACATTTCAGGCGACGGTAGTGGTATAATTGGTTTTCTTAAATATTTTTATCACATTTTTTCCTTTGTCATTGCTCAATTCTTATTATACTCAAAAGTTTGTTGTTGTTTGTTTGCAATGAAAAAACTCAATAATTAAGAATGAAGATGGAGGTTGGGGATTGCACATAGAGGGTCCTAGCACCATGTTTGGCAGTGGAATAAGTTACGTGGCTCTGAGACTGTTAGGGGAAGGGCCTGATGATGGAGAAAATAGGGCAATGGAGAGGGGACGAAAGTGGATTCTTGACCATGGTGGCGCTGTAGGCATTCCTTCTTGGGGGAAATTCTGGTTTGCTGTAAGTTTTATAGTTCATTGCATCATAATCCTTGAAGTTTGATTCTTTTTTGTCAAATTTCTACACACTTTAATCATTAATAAGTATGTCATCCGTCCAGCTATATTTTTCACTATTTATGTATATATATAGTCAAACTTTATTCAATTTTTTTGCCTCTTTCCATTTATTATTTGATATAAATTAAAATAAATTGGTTTATAGATCACTACTTGTTTTGTAAATTTTTTGAAGTAGTTTTTACATAGGTAACATTATTTTTTATTTTTATACCTATATTCATATTAATTGAATTGAAAATAACTTTGGTCAAACATCGTAATTCAAACCATGAAGAACCTATACTTGAAGGACGGAAAGAGTATAATTTTAAATAAATAGGAGTACATGTTATAAAGTTTGATATTTTAGAATTAAATTTTCCATGAAAGTCAATGATTCTCATGCATTAGAATACTTTTGTATTAGGTCATGAGAATTTGATACTTGGCATTTTTTACCTTCTCATCCCCTTCTTGAGTTACTTCAAGAATGTCTCATGCCTCCTTATCACTTGTATAGTTTGAGATAAGTCTGTACTGCGTTGCTATCGCCTGCACCAAATATAGCATCCCATGCCTTATCATCAAACTCAGTTGCAGCAACTTCAGCTGTGCTATATTCTCAAAAGGTTTATTAGTGGAGATTAATAGATCATCTGAGAACTTCAACGGTTCTTTCCACCTAGTTTCCACGCTGCGCCAAACTCCCCCTCTGAGATTTCAGAAAAGCTCTCATTCGCCATTTCCAGAACCTGTAATTGTGTTCACGCAAAAGTGGTGGTCGTTGAACATTGGCACCTTCTTTCATGTCACCCATGGTTAAGATCAAAATAGCTAGGAGATAAAACAAACAAACTGTTGCACACATTTTTTTAGCACAAACAAACTCTTGCAAAAAATTGTTGTAGGGGGTAGCGGGAATAATCAAGCATTGATCTTAGACAAGAAGATTAAAAAACAAATTGTTGCAAAAAGTGTTTTAGCACTGTCATAAAACCAATAACTGACTTAGTTTTGAAACATCTTCTCCATCTCATGTAAACACACAGAATATATAGTAAAAAATAGTAAGTAGTGCACAAGAACTTTTTACGCAGTTCGAAGCTGAATCTCCTACATCTGCGAGGCCCACGTTTGTGTAATAGTCCTCCACTAAATCACTGTAGCATTTACAATCAATTACACACGAGTACCTTAATCTATTGGTTAAAGACTTACAAGTGATTACTGACTACAAGCCCTGTTTGAGTCTTTCTCCTTGGTGTGTTACACCTTCATGTTCTACGTCAAGGGCGTGTTTTCAGCCTATTTCCAGATCAGCATTGTACTTAACTTCTGAATATGGTTGTGAACTACTACTTCACAACAAGGATTACAGGATGTAATCCTTCTTCGAATATCAATACGCTCTGATATGAATAGTGTGGCGTGATATATGGTCGCTCTCGTGTTGTGAGAAATACTCTCTTTTTCTTAGTTGTTGATCGATCACTATTTTTCGCATTCATACAAGACCATTTGTCAATATAAATACCAGGGTGAAAAAACCTTAGTAGAGTCATAAATGAACTCTTCTTTTCCTTTGACAACTAATATTTTAATTATTATCAATGTTATAATACAGGTGTTAGGGATATATGAGTGGGATGGTTGTAATCCCTTACTCCCAGAAATGTTGCTTCTTCCTAAGTTTTTCCCTATCCATCCAGGTAAGTTGCAAACAATACTAGTTGTTTTTCTTCAGGTGATATTAGTTAATCTTATAGACAATTTTTTGCTATGAGCCAAGGAATATGTCAAATTTCATAAAAAAGTTTGCTTATTATTGTGATAAATATTATTTAGTTATTTTTAATAAATAAATAAACGTTTTTTTGGACCTTATGACCATTATAAAACTCTCATTATGAAAATCACTATAAATAAATTAATATAAATTTATTATAAAATTTGTAAATAAATAATATTTTCATGTGAAATTTGTACAAAGTAGCACCAAAAATTAACACTTTTCCCCAAATGGCACTGGTCAAGTTTTGCTTCCAAAACTAGAATTTAATTAATTAATTAATTATTAATAATATACATTACTAAAACACCCTTGTGTCTTAATTTTTTGTACTCCGTATAAAAGATAGACTATACGTTTTTCTCCCTTTGGTCGATTTTCTCTTTCCTTGATTTGTCTGTTTATATTTTCTTTTTTATGGATATTGTAAAAAATATTGACATTTTTCACTGATCCATGACGTTGTAAAAATTATGGACATGTTACATTTTACAAATTATGGACATTGCTTAGTTATCGAGGACATTGATAGCTAATGTAGTGGACATTTATAATTGCGACAATGTCCTTTTTTCAACCAACATTGTCTTGGCAATAAACATGTAGACATTAACAACGAAATTAGATATTATTAGCGTGAAATCACAGAAGTAATTAAATCATGCATAATGGACATTACTAGACTGGCAACGGAACACTAATGTCGGCATTTTGTGATCGACGACCGACCCAGGACAGAATGAAGTGATGAGACAGTAAATATAAACATATATAAATGGCATTTTAGTACACTAGAATTATTAATTAATCAAATACTAGTTATGGAAATTAAAACTTGTTGTGCTATATACGAAAATAACAATGTTTTAGTGCTGTTAAAGTAAATTTCTCTATTTTCATTTATGTTTCTTATAAATTTCGTGTGTTTATTATTAGGTAAATTTTTGTCTTATAGTCGCCTCACTTTCTTTCCAATGACGTATGTGTATGCCAAAAGATTCGTTGGACCACAAACTGAAGTTGTTCTCTCTTTAAGACAAGAGCTTTACGCCCATCCTTACAAGGAGATTAAATGGAATGACCTTCGTTTCATGTGTGCTAAGGTCACATTATTTCAATTATTTACATGGAAATTTTATATTGTTATTATTCTTAAATTGAGACCTAATATTTTAAGGCCATAAACTCGACATGATATATTGAAAAATTCAATTTCCTTTTTGTTTCTTATATTCTAGGAAGACATTAATTATCCTCTCAATTCAATGCCATTCTACCTCTATGAGTTTATACAATATTTCGTAGAGCCTCTCCTAAAGATTTGGCCATTTTCAAAGTTGAGAAAGAAAGCCCTTAAGATGGCAATGGACCACATTCATTATGAGGATGAATGCTCCAATTACATGTGCATTGGAATTACCATAAAGGTGAGCTTAAGACCATAAGTATATTCCCACCAATATATTTGTTTTAGCTATCACTCTCTCGATCCACATTATTTTCTCTTTTTCTATTTTTGGTTTTTTCTAAAATTCTTCTTTGTTTCATTTCATGAAATATTTCTTGGCTTAAAACCTAAACTATGCTACGAAGTATTTATTTTTCTATTCAAAATAAGTACTTCCTTAGTGGGTATCTCTTTTTTCATTTTGACTTTTACAGTTAACTTATTTAATTTGAACATAAATTCTGGTAAGAATATATCAAAATTTGAAATAAATTTAATATCAATAGATTCATTTCGATACGTAGTATAAAAAAAATACTCCCTCCGTCCCGACATCCAGTTTTGACTTTTGGAACTGTCCATCTAAGCACTTTGACTCATCAAATTTTCTCAATGTGTAAGCCTAAATATAGTCATGTGTGATCTTGTTTGATTTGTCTTAACATATAGATTATTAATATATAATTTCTATAATTTTTTAATATACAAATTACAAGATAAAATGAATTAAAGAAGTGTATTGGATGGTGTGAAAAAATGAAAGTGGACAAATACTCTGGGACAGAGGTAGTATTTTTTTAAATCTATGAATATATGCAAATAAAGATATTAATGGTCAAATTTGTATACGAGACCGTGAAAAGTCAAATGAGAAGAAAACTATAGGATAGAATGTGTAATAAAAATAAGGGTGTAGTAAAAAAGGATGGATGCAGTACTAGGTAATGAAATTGTTATTTCAACCCATATAAGATGCCAAGATTGACACGATGATATAATCATATAACACAAAAACTGTTATTGTCTCTAATACATTCATTATTTTTGAGAGCCATTAGTGGTGTTAAGCCTGGTATCCTTAGTTTGTAAGGCGTCGCCTAGGCGATAAGGCGCTGTCATTGGGACGCCTTGTCTGCTCGCCTCGCCTAGAAAACCTTAAGGCCACCAGGCGCTCGCCTAGGCGTCGCCTTTCCTCGCCTTACCTCGCCTTGATGCCTTGGGCCCCTTTAAAATTTTGAAAAAACCCATTTTTTAGTGCAGCCCTTTTTCTTTTAGTGTAGCCTAACAAACTTAAACTTATCTTCTATCTCTCTCTCTCTCTTGGTCTTCTCTGTCAAGCTTCCTTAAAATGTATAAGACCTATATATACATATACAAATGTGTATATATATATGTATATATATGTGTGTGTGTGTGTATATATATATATTTTAATAAGAATTATTTTTATTGAAAGAGAAAGAAAAAAAAGTACAAAAGGAGGGGGTTGGCCGGACCCCAACAAGGCCTGATACTCAAACAGTCCAAAAGCTGGAAAATGATCAACAGATAGCAATAACTAAAATAGGTCCCAATGCTTTGTTTACTCCCTTGTTGTCACCATATGGCTGGAGAAAAATGCTCTTATCATGTGTCTGCCATCACTCAAACCTATGTTCAATTCAAACAGCTCATTCCAACGTGGTGGACCTCATTAGAGCTGCTGCAGGGAATCAATTTTTTGCAAATGGATGTATTCCTCATGCCACTGCTCCCAAATCCTTGCAGGTCAATGAGCTCATGGCAATACAGGGCAGCAGAGATTCCAGCTGCTGTATAGAGTTGCATGTCTAAAATCTAATTAACTAGTGCCCAGAAACAAGAGTAAACAAGGTGTCCATCATCTACCAGTGGTAAGCAACAGTTTAACAGTTCCCAAAAGTCTTCCGCTTCATTCATAGTTGATGAGATGTTCACACAAAGATGTAATGATAGGTTCGTCAATGTTGGCACATGATAGTAGGACTGGATGTCGCGTACCTTTTATCTTGATTGCCCTAATGCATTGTGCGCTCTTCATAGCGTCCCTTGTAGCTTTTATTGCCTTGCCCTGAAGAGTTTGAACAAGACCCCTTTGGATTTTTTCCTTGATGAAAGGAGAATGCAATGATTCCTTAATCATCCATAGAGATTGCTCAAAGTCACTAATATGTTGCTCAAAAATGGGCTTAAGAATCTCAAACTCCTTTTGGAGATCTCCGCTTGCTGGTTCTTCCACATTATCATCGATGATCATTAGCTTAAGTTCATATTGAATAGGATCATCCGTTCTTGAAACTTCCACTTCCGGTGTTTGCTTAAGCAACCCTTCGATAATCATTTGCTCTTCATAGTTCAGGAGACATGCTTTGGTGGGCTCTTCTTCCGAGTTCAACCCCCCAGGAGTGGCATGATGTTCAATATCCTTAACACTTGGATCCGAGTCTTTATGCAGTAGTGCAACTGTCTTTATCCCATGTTCTTCATTTCTTTGAGGAGCTAAAATCTCCATAGTAGTCTGTGAGCCCACTGTCTGTTCTTTACCCCCTGCCCCTTGACCAAAACCAGTCCCAGCAGGAGCTTTATCTTCTGGTAACTCATCATTTTGTTGAGCTCCAAAGGTAGCTTTCGTATCCAAATTTGAAGGCTCTGCAAAACCAGTGCTGTTTGAAGGGCCAAGAACATTAAGCTCATGTACCACTGTTAGTTTGTGTGCACTAGAAATAGAATCCGTAATAATGGGGGCCTTAGTCTTCCCAAAGAAGGCATCAACAGCGTTCTAAAAACAATTTGAACCTCCTCTATCCACTGGGATAAAAATAGAAGTGCTCCCTTCTACCCTAGACTCAAGAATTCTGATAAAATTTCCCCACCTATTTGACCCATATGAGATGGAAATTTTTCGCTGCTTTTCAAACCGAGTAATAGCCCAAGTATTTCTTTGATTTAATTTGGGGAAAATCTGAAGAATCCATTCCAACCCTTTAAAATCAAACCAGATAGTGTAATTCTTCCTCCCAACTTCACTAATACAGAAATTCTGGTTATAGGATGAGTGAAAAAGATTGAAAACCTTGGATTGAATTCGAAAGGAGTGAAATCGATTATGACTTGCACGTTCTTGCCTTGTAGCCTTCGGATTTTGGATCCTCTTCCTTAACGAGCAATCTCTGTGTGTGTGTGTGTGTGTGTATATATATATATGTATATATATATATGTATGTATGTATGTATCTATGTATGTCGCCTAGTCGTCGCCTAGGCGTATGAAGGTACATTGGCGCCTCGCCTTGCCGCCTTACAAACTATGCTGGTATCATTAGTAATATAACCATATCATGAACCGCTAATTAATTATTATATCTATAATTACTTGTCTTTATAGACTGCATGCATTGTTGCATGTTGGGATGAGGATCCAAATTCAGAGGCATTTAGAAGGCACCTTGCTCGACTTCCAGACTACTTTTGGGTAGCCGAAGATGGCATGAAAGTGCAGGTTTTTGAATGATTCTTTACTAATTCAAAAATTAAAAGAGGAGTTCAAAGTAATACTTGCATGAAAAAATTGAATTGTGGTAACTTGTTTGGATTAATGTAGAGCTTTGGAAGCCAGATGTGGGATTTGTCATTTAGTGTCCGAGCAATACTTTCAAGCAATCTTAATCAAGAGTACTGGCCAACACTTAAAAGGGCACACGAGTTCTTAAAAGCTTCTCAAGTTAGTATTTCACTTCTTCATGAACTCATTTGCATCATTTTCCCCTTATTGATCCATCAACATAAAATGTCTCCAAACATTATTATTTAAAATAATACATATTTTATAACTAAATTTTACATTATTAGAGTATAAATTTTGTGAAAGTATTGCATTCATGTTTTAACGTGAACCCGACGTATGTAGTATATAATACTTATGGATCGAAGGCTAAAATTTGCCACTAAGATTTGAATAAAGAATTGACAATCACATTCAAGTGGAGGAAACATTTAAGAATGAAAGTTGGGGGGTGGCAAGCAGTCCTAGAACTATTTTACTTAAAATATGGAGTGGCTTAACATCTTAGAAATGAATGAAGTTTCAACTATCTTTTGTATTAAGATAAAAATTCAATATTTCTAAAAGATATGTGAAGGAATTTTTTTCTATAAAATTTAAGATGCGTGAAAGTCTCTAAACTTTTAGATTATTACACAACATTATAATAACATTGTCTTGGTGATTAGTATATATAGAGGTATGAAGTGATTGAGGTAGTTGTCTAATTTTATTCTTTGTTGTACATTTCAATATATAATACAACACTAATTTTGATGTGGTGCCTTTGGGTTATTGACTAATTGTACAAGAGTTCATTTGTGCGAATTGAGGAAAGGATTAGTGATACATATTATTATCCAATACTTCTAATTAGAGTCAAGGTTATCAAACGTGGATAAACAAACAGAGTTTGTTGCTTGTAAGATCTTGTAAGTACATGATAATAGAGTCGAGTAATGCAACTTCCATCGAGCACATATTTCCGTTAAAATTGAGTGACAAAACAAGTTCATCGAAACAATTAAATTTTAACTTACATGTTAGAATTAGAATCCTAATCTCTGTCCTTTCCGATAGAGAGCAAAAACGACATTCTGACATGTTTATTAGAACATGAACCACTGCACAAGCGTATCACGAAGCAGTGACTTCGTGAGAAGGACCTCAATGGAAGGAGGCCATTAAATGTGAAGTTCATTTTATCTTATAGAATCAAACTTCGGAGTTAGTGAACCTACATTGATAATGAAAATCGATATGTTTTAAGTGGAAATTTAAGAACAAAATGGAATATGTAAGGAATTGATGTAATGAAAAGAGTATTGAAATGATGAAGAATTGTGTGTAAAATGAGAGTTAAAGGTGGTCTTTTTATAGTCTAAGAGGAGGAGTTTCCGTTGCATAAACATCCAAGGGGATCAAGATAAACATTTTGAATAAAGTAGTGTGATGGTCGATTATCACAACTTGATAATTGATTATTGAATATTCTTTGTCCAAAATTTTTAAAATTCTAGTTGGAGGGAAATGATAACATAAACTTTAGTTCAATGTGAATAAGAAAGTGTGTTCCAACAATATATTATACACAAAAATGGTGAACAGATGAATGAGAAAATGATTCTCAAAGTTAATGTGACAAGTAGAAGAAATGATTGTTGTTAACTAAGTCCTAAAACCCGAACATTGTTAAGCTAAAGATGGAGGCTCTGGACTCTATTTAGCTTGAGGCCTGGACCTAGGAACTCGATCTCGGCTCTAAGTCTTAGGACCACAAATACTTGGCTTGACTCAGACCCCTTTATCAACTTTGAATAAGTGACCTTGATCTCATGCACGGCTCTGAGCAAGTTACCTCAATCTCATGTTCGGCTATGAGCAAATGACCTTAACCTGAGCATTATGCTTGACCATGGTCAAAACCTCTTCTAATTTTTTGTGTTAAGTTTAAATCTGTTTGTATTTTTGAGTTATTTACCTATTAATCTCTAATCTCATAGTGGGGTCATTAATGACAATCATACTAATAATTCCTATTAATGTAAATCTTACGAAGCCTCCCTATATATACCAAACCATCTTGTTGTCTCAAAAAGAGTGAGTGTATCATTTCAAAGTTTGTGAGTATAAGAGAAAGCCTAGTTATGGTGATCCTCCATGGTTTTTCGCCAATGATAATCCTTCAGTTGTTTGCGTTCACCGGTACAACCTTAGATTATGAAACTAAGTTGTGCGTTAGTTGTTTTATCATGGGAGAAAAGCATTCTCGTTAGGTAGTACGCTAGGGAGGAGCTACTAGCTTAAGATCCGGTGACTCTCCTTTCCTTCTCCTTAGTTTTATGTGATACAATTGTTTTTTCTTCTCCTCTTGTATTCTACTCTATTACGGTTACCCTTTGATCTACTACTATCATCCTCTACTCTACAGTTCTTCGATTTATTTCATATTACAAAATCCAAATATTTAATAAACTCGGATTTGTTTATTTATAATTCTGACACACAGCCGTCTGCCTAACCATCTTTGTAACTAATTTTCAACAATTTCAACGCCTATTATTTTTCCTTGCACTACTAACTACCACTTTGGTCGTGAGAGCTTCCGATGATTTGTGCTAGTCTATGTGTGACTAGTAGGAAAGATTAGCCTAGATCTCCCGTCCACTCTTGGAGAGAATGATACTCGGGAACAAACCAATATATTGAGGAAAGTTCACTTTTTTTTTACTTGAATGCCAAAGAGTTTAAATTTATTCGGTTTTTAGGCATCCTCAATGACATAAAGAAGTTGAAAGAAACATAAAAATGAAATGGTGATGATGACTCCCACACTAATGTGCTAAGTCATGTTGATGAGGGTGAAATTTAGTTAGTAGAAACTTAAGAGGTTGCAAAGTCTTAGTGGATTATGGGTTGTTCTCTTTTGATGCATATTTTTTGATATCAAGCTATGTTCGTCTCCTTAAACATTTATGGAGAATTCGGTCACTTTAACGTGATTAATGGTGAGAACTTAAAAGTTGAAGGTAGTAGAAGTTAATGTGAACAATGGTCACCTTGAATTGCAGGGCGGGAGGGAGGGCGGGATATTATGAATAATAAATATAATGCGAAATATAATATTATTAATGTTTACTTTGTTTATTCTTTTGTTATTATAATTCTTTATTTTACTTTGGTCTTATTCTTTATGTATCCTCGATATATATTGATATAACCCTCATTATTCACATAGACCAATAATTATTAAATTTTATGACTACTTTCATAAAAATAGTCCTCCCGTCCTTTAGTGTTTGCTCAACTTTTTCTTTTTGCCGTTAACCATTGGCAACATTCGACCTATAATTAAATAAAATATATATTTTATATTTATTTGATAAAATAATATTTTGAAAATATTTTATTAAATATATATAATAAAATTATTTTTGTATCAATGTCTAATATCCCTTATATTTAATTTTTGGTCAAAGTTTACATACTTAAACCGAAAAATTTAAATGAGTACAAACACTCAAGGATAGAGAGAATAAGTTTTTTGAAACATATTATACCAAAAATTATGCCCCCAAGAGAGATGTTATTTTATAGAGGGACTTTTACACTTAACATTACAACTTCTATTTATGGAGGTTGTCATTTGAGTTTCTAAATAATTTTAATGCACTTAATATATTAATATTATCATAAAATATAAAACAATACTTTAATAATATTATTTACATAAATATGAAAATAATATGTGAATATGATTTAAAAAATAATTTGAAGTAATAAAGTACTACAAATGTGTAAAAAATAAATGACATGGTTGGAGAGACGTTGAAAAAACTGAGTTGCTAAAATAGTGTCCGAGACTAAAAATTTTTAGCTTCCCAAATTATAGCCAATATGAGGGTTTTATATCTCCATCAACCACCACTAACCATCGACTTCCATTGTCACTTATAACGACCCTCGTTTATCACTAGTAAAATCATTCTTTTAAAATTTTCTGTGAACAAATTTCAGATCCCCTATCATTTTCCCATATTTTATGTCTTATCTCAAAGCTCAATGAGCCCTTACTTTTATGGTCTAATTTGTTCCTAATATCGTATTTCGTAATAATTAATTTTTTAAGGTAATCTCCAATCCCCCTGGAGAATTTCAAGAAAAGTACTATCGACATGAGAGCAAGGGATGTTGGACGTTCTCAACGCAAGATCATGGCTGGCAGGTCTCAGATTGCACAGCAGAAGCCCTTTTGGTATGCTTCCGCTTATTTCCTTTCATCTTTTTCCACACTTATAGGCTCTTTTCACTTTGCTTGATCTTTTGATTGGTTTTTTATATGAAATTTTTAAAGCCTGGTTTCAGCAAATAGTAATGTAGTGTAATTTAAATATGTTTCTAATCAGATTCGATTTGATTATAATATAAATAAGTTATAACTAAAAAAGATGAAGAGAACGGCACCTTAGTCTCTTACTACCAAATGTTCTTTTCACTTGGATTTATAAACACTCTTCAGAGTTTGGTACTTATGAACGTGTGCCCCCATGTCTATGTGGAATGTGGGAACAAATTAAATTTTAAGAGCATTTAGCATACATCCACCTAGCAAAGAACGAAAGGATTGTGATCTCAAAGATCAATTGGAACCAAACAAGTCCTTGAGATTAGTCCGGTCTAAGACTAATAGTCTCAAATGATGTTTAATTTGTTAGGAGGACTAGGACTATTTCGAGACTAGTGTAGGACATGTTGGGAACTTGGACTGATTTGCAATTAGTAGAAGACTGGTCTAAAGACTAGGACTAGTCAAAAAACTTGGTCTTCCAATGCTTACCTAAGGTAAATTTTAAAAGTTATACTAAGTGGTAGTAAAATATAGAATATTTAAGTAATTACTCTCTTTCGTCTAGGAATAAACTTCCCAGTTGACTCAGTTGACTTTTAGTTTCTTCATTTTTATTGGAAGTTGACTATATGTGTAATTTGTCCAAGATGCCCCCTGCCCTTCCTATACCACCCTTGTCGTGGCCCAACCCCGTGCCCTTCAATTGAATAGAATAACAATATTACACCAAATATTTGGTGTAAGATTATCCCCTCTTATACTTAATTCAATAATGACTTTCTTGTCATAACCTTTAGCACAATAAGAGCATTTCCTTAATTTAAAAAAGGAACCTTACTTTCATCTAATAATCCAACACGAGAGGAGATTAAGTAGAAATTACAAGAGGGGATATAAGAAGATATAAATGTATTGCACAAGAGTGGAAGATGGTAGCGAGAAACATCCTCTTAAGATTTGCTTTGATTCATAGCTTGTGCGGTTGAATTAAGTGTAGTTTTAATAAAAAAAATATATTTAGTCAATGTTGAGACTATAAATCGATATGGATTGGACTCAAAGTTCATGGGGGTGCAGTGGAAATCACCAAATAAAAGTTATGTAAACAAATCAAATAAATAGGTTGCTGAGAGGATCATGCAACATTGTCGCAAAAACATAGGACAGACAGTGCTATACCACTTTTTCCATCACAAGCACACACATAGAAGTAGATGACGCATGGGGTGTTACCCATCTACTAGAAAGAATACTGTAATTATAAAAACCACATAGAATGACACCAGATATGTTTGCGTAGTTCAGAGAAACTCTCAAAATCTATGGGGCCTATGTTTGTGTAATATCCATCCACTAAATCACTAAATGCAATTTACACTGGTACATAATAACATGATGGCTTTTTTGAATTATTATCACAAAATTCTAATCTAGGATTTCTAACACGAACCTTATTCGAATCCTCTTTGGCTATCACATCTCCACCGAGATCACAAGGAAAATAATGGTTTGCAGCCCACACGTTTAGCTCTGATTCATCTTTTGGATGTTACGATCTGAAGATCTCCTTCTCCATGTAGATTGTAACTTTCTTCACACAAGGATGGCTCCATGACGCAACAAGAATGCTCTAGATCAGTGTATATTTTGCATATTTTCCCTCACAATCATTCTAAGAAATTCCTCGGATATACTTTTTTTATAGGCCTCTTAAAACCCGGTTCTCGTAGGAATATGTTAGTAGAAGTTTATGTTAGTAAAAGTTGCCTTGAATACAACTTCTTTTATTTTGATCCACGAGTAGCCTGAAGCCTCCTAAATAATAGCTGAATTTCTTATAAGTTAGTTCGTTTCATGAAAAGTCTTCAAGACATGGTGATAGTAAGGAGGCGTATCTTGTTAGTCCATAACAATGATTCAAAATGATCTAGACGAGGCATTGTGCTCAAGCCATACTGATTTAATTAATGCTCCTTGCCACTTGTGCTTATGGTGCATAGGTGTGTTGTTTTTGTCCCTAAATGGCTTTGGCGTGGTGTTTTACGATTGGTGTGCTTGAGGCGATTGCCATTTGCGCTTTGTTTTCTGGCAAGAAGCATAAGCCTACTAGGCTCTTTGTGCGTCAACAATTTATAAAAATTAGGGTGTTCCAAATCACATTTAAAGATATCGCGTACCTTCTCCGCTTCACATTGCTTTGATAGCCCACAATATAAACTGCTTCTGTTCTCTCGATTCTTCTCCATATATTGCGACTCGCCTTATCTAGCGCAACCCTCTTTTCTAGTCTCTCAAAATGGCAAGCTACAAGTCTCACGCTTTAGGTCGCTGGTCTCTTTTTTTGTTCGCTTCACTCAACGTAACAAATTTTTGAGTTTATTCACGCTTTTTATTATGTTTTCTTTAATCCATATTTATTATTATTATTATTATTAATTCAATTGATTTATTAATTTTCTTATTTTTTCAGTTTTTTAAATGATTAGTATGATTTGGTTTAGTTTATTTTAGAAAAAATTATTTTTGTTTTTTATTTTTTTATTATCTCATTCGCTCTATGTGTTTTGCAATGTTTAATGACTAATAGCTTCGAAGATTTGTTTGCTATTTGTTGTACGAACTACATATTGATTTCTTTTGTTAATTATGTAGTGTTTAAGACAAAAAAGATATTGAATACATAATATTTCTCGTGTGTGTGTGGATGAATATCTTTGTGTGTATCTTTATATGTATGTATGTATGTACGTTCACCATTTATTGTATTATTGAAATATTGATGTACTTTTATTGATATTATAGTAGAAAAGTTTATCTGAGAGGATCATGGTTTTTAACCCATAGTTGAGAGGCATTTCCAAGTAAAAATATTATGTGTTTTGCCTTTTAGTTCTGTGCATACTCTTCCTCCAATATTATTTTCACGAGTGTTAGTTATTGTTTGAAGGTAATTTTTATCAAGAGATTTATATACTGAAAATATTATTAGTTTTAACTATTGTGACATGTAATCTACTGTTAATTTCCTCATATACTTTTATAGTATTATATTCTATGTAAATGTTTTGTACATAAAAACAAAATCAAGCGTCAATATTGGAATGAGCGGTATTTAACTTTATCCCTCAAAAAGTAAACTTGGCTTTTATTTACGGTGTATTATGTATTGTACTCCTACCCATGCACAAATTTGAAGTTTTAAATAACTTACTCTGTATACTAATGGTTTGTAGGTTGCACTTAAGTTTTCTCAACTGCCAACCCATGTCGTTGGTGAGGAAATTGACACCCAACGCTTATATGACGCTGTAAATGTTGTTTTGTCTCTTCAGGTAATATTCAACTTAACATGAATACATATATTCATAAATACATACATATATTTGAAAAAGCACTCAAAAAAAGTTTAGAATGAAATATATAAGTTTTACTTTGAACTAATATTTCTATACCTAAATTATAAAATATGCAGTTACTCCAAATAAATATAAATGTTATGAGGGGTGTTAAGTTGAATCCAACCATTTGGGGCTATATTGTCATGTATAGAATGATTAACACCAATAAAAACTTTGTTCAAATCCTTAGTACCATCATGGGTACAAGAATTGTTCATGTTACAATTTGCTGGTAGAGCTGTACCCACCATCCCTAACAGGAAATTATAAGTTTGGTTATAGCTCATAGGAGGTGGGGGTCCATCAGCTATTCCCACCATTGCGCAACACATTAAGGGAACATTCACATGTAAAGGTATAATGAACATGGTTCGTGAGTTCATACGCGATGTGATGTTTGCATGATAGTAAAGCACAAAAATGTAGCTTTGGCAGCTCTTCACCAACCCTTACCCGTTCCAAAAAACATCTTTATAGACATGCCAAAGGATTTGATAGGGGGGTTACCAAAAGCCTAAGGGAAGGACATGATTTTGGTAGTGTTTGACTAGCCAGTTTAACAAAGTATAGCCACTTCATGCTCCTTAGCCATCCCTACACAACCAAGGAAGTGGCTCAATTATTTCTTGACCATATGCATAAGTTACATGGGTACCCTACATCAGTGGTCTCTGACCATGATCTATTTTTGCGAGCACCTTTTAGAAGGTGTTTAAAGGATTACAAGGAATAACCGTAAACTTACCTATTCTTAGCTAATGATTATGGGCCAGCCATATATTTTCCTTTAATTTAAGAATAGATTAGGTTTGACTCATTTAGTATATATAATCATTGTATAAGCGTTGGGTGTCAAGTTGAATTAAAGTTTGACTCATTTAGTATATATAATCATAGTATATATAATCATTGTATAAGCATTGGTAATAACATTTACTCTGTATATTTTAATTCATTATATATTTTTATATATAGTTATTCAAATATTGACACACAAAATGAAATGTATAGTTAATACAAAGTAGAATGTTACCCAAAAAGGTAGTCGTGCCGAAAACTTTAGGAGGGAAAATTTTAGAATGTAAATAATTAGTCAATTATGTAACTGTTTTTTTGAGTAAGTTCCCAAAATAGTCCTTTGTAATAAGATGTTTTCCCAAATTAGTCCTCAATAAGTTTTAATTACCTACGTGGTCCTCTATAATTGAGATTTATTCCCAAAATAGTCCTTTGTAATAAGGTGTTTTCTCAAATCAGTCCTCAATAAGTTTTAATTACCTATGTAGTCTTCTATAATTGAGATTTATTCCCAAGATGGTCCTTCGTAAATAATGTTACTCAAATGAGCATTAATTGAGGGTATTTTTTCTCAACTAAATTTAGAATCAATTCTTAAAATAATCATTTATAATGAAGTGCTTTTCTCAAAATAGATTTTCTAATTAAAGATGTGTATTTGATTTAAAATATAAAAGATTTTTTTAAGTTTTATAAATGTATTTGGTTTATCTCTATGCAATAAGGTGTTATCCCAAATCAGTCTTCAAATGAGAATTACTCTCTTCGTCCCAGAGTATTTGTCTACTTTCATTTTTACACACCATCCAATACACTTTTTTAATCCATTTTATCTTGTAATTTGTATATTAAAAATTATAGAAATTATATATTAATAATCTATATGTTAGGACAAATCAAACAAGATCACACATGACTATATTTAGGCTTACACATTGAGAGAATTTGATGAAACAAAGTGCTTAGATGAACAGTTCTAAAAGTCAAAAGTGGACGAATATAGCGGGACGGAGGGAGTAATTGGGAGATATTTTGGTATTTTGATCATTCAAATTTAAAGTATATTCTCGAAACAATCATTTCTGTACAATTAATTGTAAAATTTAAAAAATACATTGACTATAAATAATTTATGAATTATTTAAAACTTAAAAAAATCTTTTAAATTTTAAATCAAATACACATCTTTAATTAGAAAAACCATTTTGGAAAAACACTTCATTATGAATGATTATTTTAAGAATTAATTCTAAATTTAGCGGATAAAAAATACCCTCAATTAATCCTCATTTGAGTAATATTATTTACGAAGGACCATTTTGGAAATAAATCTCGATTACAAAGGACCACGTAGATAATTAAAACTTATTGAGGACTGATTTGGAAAAATACCTTATTACAAAGGACTATTTCGGGAATAAATCTCAATTATTGAGGACCATGTAGATAATTAAAACTTATGGAGGACTAATTTGGGAAAACTCCTTATTACAAAAAACTATTTTGGGAATTTACTCTATTTTTTTATGTACGTACGTGTTAAATAACAAAATAACTACGAAGTATGTCACAAATTGACTAAATTTATTATGTGATATAGTATTAGTATATATTTACAATATACCTGAACTAATATAAACCTAAATCAATACAAACCTGAATCGATATAAATTCGAACTGATACAAACCCGAGTCGATATAAACACGATCCAATATAAACCTGAATTGATACAAATCTAAACCAAAACCAAACCAAAACCAAAACTATTCAAACTAAAATAAATATGGAACCGAACCAACCTGAACTGAACCCCCGAGCCGATTATAACATATATCCAAAAGAGACCCGAACCGAGATCCGGAATGGAACTGAACTGATTGACCAATTGCCAGGTCTTGTCATGGTGAACTGCTATCATGTCCGAACGGCCGGAGATTAAAGTCCATTACAAAAATATGTATTTGCTCTGTCCCAGAATTATCTTTCGCGATTGACTTGGCATACTTTTTAATTAAATAGAACATTCGTGGTTTGTGTAGAGACAATTCAAATAAGAAAGAATGAAGATAACTATGAGATAGAGGAAGTATGTATCCATTTAGAATATAAACAGTTTTAGGTACCATCAAAAGTTCTTCTATAGAATATCGTTTACGTCAATGAATAACGAACTACTCCCAACATCCCTAGAAAATTGGTCTAGTTACTATTTTGGACTTTCGATAAGCTTTTTTTTGTATGCCTTTTCATGGTTTATTTGAAAAAATAAAATATTCTTGTCACCACTTATTTTGTAGAGTTTTTATTATAATTTTGAAATATGTAATTTGTCTATTTTATTTTCTTACCATTTTGTAAATAAAACTAATTTAAAAGAGATTATATTTTCACATTGTTCGAAAGAGACCATTTTTATGGACGGAGGGAGTAATAATTTTAATTCTTTGTGTTACTCTATCCTAAGTTTGTAAATTTAAATACATACTAAAATAAGAAATCGTCCAACATAGGAGTAAAATATTTTAAGTAGTTATTGTAAGGGAAAAAGACTAAATAAGAGTAAAAATTGAAAATATATCAAAATAGGATTTTCATATTTTTATTTCCGAAATAGGAGTAAAAATACATTTACATTACCAAACATGGTCACATACAATTGTATTACCAAAAAGTATATAGTAATGTGCACATTTACAGTGTCACATAACCACAATGCTAAGTCCTATTTCAAGAATAAAAGTATAAAACTTTTATTTTGATACTTTTTTCTATATTTTAGTCATATTTAAAGTAATTTCTATTATTGTAACGTATATTTTGAAGATAAAATCATAGAGTTCATATTCTATATCTTATCTATATTGTACTCATATTTTAGTATGTTTTCTTTTAAAAATAAGAACCACTTTAACGACTGCGTGAGTTAATAATTTTTCTTGTAGTCCAATGGCCGCATATGAAAATTAAATTTTTGAAAACAGGATTTCTTTACTTTTGACTTTTTTCGATCAAAATAGGTAAACTTTGACTCCAATTTAAATAAAATAACTCCCTCCGTCCCGAGTTTTTGTCCACTTTCATTTTTTCACACTATTTAATGCACTTCCTTAATCCATTTTATCTTGTAATTTGTATATTAAAAAATTATAGAAATTATATATTAAGATAAATCAAACAAGATCACACATGACTATATTTAGGCTTACATATTGAGAGAATTTGATGAGTCAAAGCGCTTAGATGAACAGTTTCAAAAGTCGAAAGTGGACAAAAACTGGGGGACAGAGGGAGTATTAGATATTGATACAAAAATAGTTTTATGAGATTTGTAATATCAAATATTTTTAAAATATTATTTTATCAAATTAATATATAATATATACACTCTCTCCGTTCCATAAAATCCTTCCCTTTCGTTTTTTTCTAATTCTCTAAAACACTTCCACTTTCTATTAAAAAACCACGTTTAACCCTACTTTTTTATACCCTACCTATCACATCATACTTTTTCACTAATAACCGAACTATCACACTTTACTTTTACCTATCACATCGGGGGCAAAATTAGAAAGTCAACCTAAATTACACTTTCCTTATTTTGGCTCAAAATCAAAATAGGAAGTGTTTAAAAAAAACGGAGGGAGTATTATTTAATTATAGGTCAATGGTTGAAAATGGTTGACCAGAAAAAGTCAAAACTCGACAAATATTTAGGGACAAAGGTAGAACAATGAGTAAATTCTATTATTGGTCCTTTATAGCAGGGGAGTTTCCCTATTTAGTCCTCTATTATCAAATATTATCCAAGTGGTCCTTCTTTTATAGGTATCTTTCCACAAATAGTCCTTTTTTTGATCTTCTATCATGTTGGTGTTAATTTGAGGGCTAAAAGTGTAATTTCACAATGATAATATATCTTTTTTGTCATACACAATTCCAAAGGCTGTTCCGTTTGCGTCATTTGTGAATTACAGTCGCTTTTTACGACAACTATAATCTACAAATGTGATCTTTCGTCAGAATCCTAGCCCAGAATTATAGTCATTATTTTTGTGTTATCCGTTTAACCAATATCAGAACACGTCACTAGACATAATATTGACGTCAAATTATACTTTTAGCCTTTAAATTAACACCAACACGGTAGAAGATCAAAAAAAAGACCATTTGTGGAAAGGTACCCTTAAAAAAAGGACTACGGGGGTAATATTTGATAATAGAAGACTAAATATGGAAACCCCCTGTTATAAAGGACCAATTATGGAATTTACTCGTAGGAACAATATATTATAAGTGAGATTCTACAAAAATTTAATGAGTCCCCAATAACAATAATTTTAATGTAATGATTTTTTGTAATGATTTTTTGTTTGACAGAGTGATAATGGCGGATTTTTTGCATGGGAGCCCAGACGAACATATGAGTGGGTAGAGGTAAGGGATTACCGAGTGTAAGCCAATTAATGCATGTCATTATACTCCATGCCTATATTTAGATATACGGACTACTTCATTTCCGAACAACTTTTTAATTATTTGCGATAATCATATGAGCATTCCAAAACTTATGAGCATTCCAAACACTAGACAACAATATAGATTCTAGAATAAATGAGTTATTGATAGTGAAAGACGTGTGCTCCTCTTCATGAGAGTGGTCTTCAATTCTAGACAAATGATCTGCAATCACATTCACTCTCATGAAATTTAGAATAGAGTAGGGATTACTAGATAGGGCAATAAAACATTTGGATTGAATCATATTAAAAGCTTGAATCCAATCAATTACTTAGTTCAACTTAAGAACTTATATACCGATTATTTTTCTGTTCAACTTCTGATGTGAGATAGACTCTAACACTCTTTCTGAAGTGGGCAACCAGTTCATTTTGAATCTAACTAGTTGACCATTTGCAAATTTTTGCGCCAACACCTAAAGGACCACTAGCTGCTGGGTATGGACATCTAGATGAGCAATCGCATTAAACGAGTCATAGACTGTTGGGTACATGCTCCATATACAGACAACTAGGCAAAAGACAAATAGGCCTCTAAGAATGAATGTCTAGACGGACACATTGACAAACTAGGTGGGTCAAAACATTCTCTGATACCATGATGAAATTCAGGATGGGGTATGGATAACAGGATTGTGCAATAAAACACTTGGGTTCAACCACATTAAAAGGTTGAATCCAATCGATTACTTAGTTCAACTCAAGAACTTATATCCCGATTTCGTTTTTGTTCAACTTACGATGTGGGATAGAGTCTAACACACTCCCTTTTTTGTCTCGAATTTTCATATCAAATTCTTGGAGAAGTAGCACCCGCCGAATGAGTCGAGGTTTGGCCTCATTTTGCAAAAAGGTATTTGAGTGTGGCATTATAGGTTTATACAAGAACTTTGCTTCCTACCAAATAAGATTGAAGGACAGGTTGCTACAGGTCTAAAAAAACCAAAACAACTAGCTACTAAAAGAACATTTCTATACTAGATTGTAAAAAAATTATGCCAACAAGAATCGTACAACATGTTTACATAACAACACAAAGAAACTAATAATCTTCCCCTTTGGAAAATTTTTGACAAAAAATAATCACTACTCAGCCGACCATTTTGAACCTCTTCTCCCTTTTTTCGCATATAAAGGAAAGAGCAATATTCAACATGATCAAGAGTAGGTACAATAACAAAATTAGAAGAAAAGAGAGATGTACCTACATCACATCATCTTGTACGATACCCCCAAAAGGATAGAGCTGTCACCCATAAACTGAAAGCCTTTGATAAATTAGTCATCTTAAAGGTGTTTCATAGCCTACACCTAGGAATGGGTTGCCATGTTTAGACGTTAGCCGTCTGTGCTGATGATGAACAAGGCTCCAAAGTACTTCACAAAGGTTCATCAAAAGATGACAGAGTCATTGTCATAATATCATCCCAAAAAATCCAGATCAAAACCGGAGATGTAACACCTCGGCCCCCACCCTGGCCATAAATGTCCGCTCATAGGATTGTAGACTTACCCACAAACTAACACAAGTCTTTCCTACACACTTTGTCCTCACTCGTGCATGCGCCCACGGCAACTTCCCAGGGAGTCACCCATCCTAGAATTGCTTTAGGTCAAGCACACTTAATACAAGTCTTTCCTGCACACTTTGTCCTCACTCGTGCGGCTCACGGCAACTTCCCAGGGAGTCACCCATCCAAGAATTGCTCTGGGTCAAACACACTTAACTTTAGAGTTTCTAGGTGATGAGCTCTCGAAAAGAAGATGTACCTTGTTGCTATGAGTAGTATCATCAATCCTTTTGAACCGTTTTCTTTTCCCAATCCATTTATTTTGAAATCAAGGTATTACATTCACCCCCACTTAGGAATGCAACGTCCTTGTTGCATCTTTTTTTCAAACCCCTTGGTTTTTCCCGCTAGGTGAACTAAGCTCTTATGGCCCGTCACGGTCGCAGGGTTGCTCTAATACCATTTGTAACACCTCGGCCCCCACCCAAGTCGTAAGCGTCCGCTCAAAGGATTGTAGTTGGCCCCACAAACCAACACAAGTCTTTCTCGCATATTTTGTGCTCACTCGTGAGTGCCGAAGGTCTCAGGGGGTCACCCATCATAGAATTGCTACAGGTGAAGCACGCTTAACTTTGGAGTTTTTAGGTTATGATCTCTGAAAAAGAAGATGCACCTTGTTGGTATGAGTAGTAATATAAATCCTTTTGAGCCCCTTTCTTTTCCCAATCCATTTAATTTCAAATCAGGGTATTACAAAAAAATCCAAAGAGAGTTTGAACCCACAAAGTCACAAGGTAGAAGAACCTTAAATCACAAGGAGATTCATAAATTCTTGAGAAGAGTTTTATGGAGATGGAACATTATTCCTCATTGCTACCCTGCGGAACTGTCCTCTTTTCCATCATCCTCTACACTACCCGAGCCTTCGTTCCCCTCGGTGTCTCCCTCCTCGGAGTCTGGTGCCTCTGTTCTTTCCATATATTCAGTAGCTTTACTAGTTGGCTCTTTTCATTCCACTCCATCCTACATCTTGTGTGTTTGACTTGCAGCATTTCTCTTCCAGGAACTTCATCAACGAAGGTTACCCTGATGCTCTGATTGAAGGAAGAATTACCTAGTGAGACCATATCATTAAAATGTCTCCCCTCAAAGTGTCGTCCATCTACCTGAAGCAGGGGCTCTTTTGGTTCAACTTCTTCATGGTCTTTTTTTTGAATCCCTGTGACACTAAGATGTTGTATATGAGAATTAGATAGGGAAGCCCTATGGAATTCATCTCTTATTTCTCAGGGGCAAATAACATCATCTGCTAAAACACTATCTTTCCAAGTTCATGGTCTACTAATTCATATATACATTAGAATAAAATCGTTGACGATAACCCATAGTTGAAAAATTTAATCATTTACTTTTTCATATTCAATATAAGTAAAAGAGATTATTATTATTTAAATATCTAATCATTAGAAAATACAAATGTTCTGATACAAAATATTGCTTTTTTTCTACATCTTACACAGTAAATTTATACAAGAAAATATGAATATACATTTTTTATGCTATAAAATATTAAATTACATTTTTTTCTAAATTTAAAACAAAAAATTAGAAATTTATGTGTATAGTTGTAACAAGTATTACCTTCGAATCCTAGTTACATGATACCTTGTGGTGGGTGTGGAAATCAAAATTTCTGTTCACACAAGATACGGCTCCACACGTTTTTGTCATGAGCATTATTACATTCGAATCTGACAATGAAAAATTTGTAAAGATTATCAAATAATAGGGTGCAATGATGATGATGATGATGATGATGATAAGCCAGGGTGGGTGTTATCCTTTTTCATGACTAGACATGTTTCTTCATGACTCCATCTATCTCTTCGTACAAGTTGATAACAATAATAGGTTGCAGCAACAACAACAACAACAACAACAATAATAATAATAATAATAATTATAATAATAATAATGATAACAACAAAAAAATTATAATGATAATAGATTTGATAGCATCTGATCTGATCTAATCTAATTTGAACGGATTAGATCTGATCTCATCTAGTCCAATTTTAATAAGAACAACTAATAAGTAAAAAAAAGTTGAACGGAACGTGACCTAGATCTAGCTAGACTTAACAAATTGATTGGTCACGTCAAGTTTGGGTTCAGTCCCTGAGTTTGGGTTACATTGAATTCGAGTTAGTAGGGGTTCAGGTTGAAATTACATGTTTATGACCTAGTGTCATTGAGTTTATGTTGACGCAACAGGTTATGAGATTTAGTTTTAGGATATTAGAATTCATACAAACATTTGCACTTTTTACTAAAAATTAATAAAATGTCAAAATTGATGTATTGAATCTCTTAGATTATTTTATTTTGACATTTTAATTACTTTTTAGATATATTTAAAAATATTATGAATAATATAAAAAATTAAATAAGTACCACTGTATTAAAAATGTAAAATAATTATGTATATCATTAAAAAGTTGTTTAAAAATATAAGTTTATACATAAAAAACGAGTACTAGGAAAAAAGTTAAAACGTAACTTTATTTTCAATACATTATTTTTCATACTATATTACCATGATTTTGAAAAATCTTACGTTAGAGGGTCGATTAGATTGGATTCGGGCTTGATTAGGGTTGATGCATTTTTAGCGAGTCATTTTAAATTTGTTTATCTTCCAATTCGATGAGCAAAATCCTTTTTCAAAACTCAATATTTTCGAATCGGGTCTCAAGCAAAAATAAGTCAGATCAGTTTTTACCATGTCTATAAATCTAGCCTATGATTGGTGATTTGGAGTCATAGGACAAGGTTACTACGGAGTCTTTTGAGTGCAGGTGGCTCCCAATCAATCAATTGTCCCATACTCCCCATTAAGGTTGTAAATAAATCGAATATTTTTAGTTCGGTTCGTGATTCGTATTCGTATTCGTATGAGGTGATTCGTATTCAATTTTTTCAAATCCGAATCCGAATACGAATCTGAATAAATATTCAGATCTTTATTGAATACGAATATGAATCAAGGGTATTCAATTTGTGAGTTTGACAAATGTATTCGAAATATAAATATGGTGCATGCTTTTCGCGGATGATATTGTGCTCATCGATGGAACACGTGAGGGACTAAACGATAAGTTGGAACGATGGCGCCTTGCCCTTGAGACTAAAGGATTCAGAATAAGTAGGAACAAGACTGAATACATGGAGTGTCGTTTCAGCGGTAGGGAAACAGGATCAAAAGTGGAAGTTAGGATTGACTCCCACCTAGTACCTAAGGTAGTCAGGTTTCGATATCTTGGCTCGGTAATCCAGGCTGATGGGGAGTTAGACGGGGATGTTGTACATCGTGTTGGAGTGGCTTGGGCCAAATGGCGGTTGGCTTCAGGAGTGTTGTGTGACCTGAAGATTTTGCCCAAGATGAAAGGCAAGTTCTACCAATCCGTAGTCAGACCTGCTATGTTATATGAGGTAGAGTGTTGGGCGGTTAAGAAGACTCATGTGCGTCGTCTGCATGCGGCGGAGATGCGGATGTTACGATGGATGTGTGGGAAGACAAGGTTGGATAGGATTTCGAACGAAGTTATCCGACGTCAGGTAGGCATGGCGCCGGTGGAAGATAAATTGCGGGAAGCGAGGTTGAGATGGTTTGGTCATGTGAGACGGCGGGATGCTGACACCCCTGTTCGGAGATGCGAGCGGATTATGATTATCGAGGGAAGTAGGGGAAGGGGTAGACCTAAGAAGAATTGGAAGAAGGTGATTAGGCAGGATTTAGTACTTCTCACCCTGACTGAGGATATGCCTTTAGATAGGAACCTTAGGAGAACTAGGATTAGAGTAGCTGGTTAGGAACTCGGTGCTACAGAGGTTTTTTGTAGTGTGTTGTGTTTGATTGAAATCTTCTATTAATGCTTGTAGAACTTTCATTTCTTTGTACTTGGTGCTTGATCCATGTTATACTGTGTACCCTATCATATTTTTTGTGCAAGTTGAGCTGGGGGTCTCTTGGAAACAGTCTCCCTGCTTCTGAGTAGGGGCAAGGTCTGCGTACACACACCCTCCCCAGACCCTACTGTAGTGGGATCCAACTGGGTTGTTGTTTGTGTGTATATATATATATATATATATATATATATATATATATATAAATAAATAAAAATATATATATATATATATATATATATATATATATATATATAGACAAATAATAGGTAATAAATAGATTAAATACTTATAAAATATTTTAAAATCTTAATGAATTGAATATTTTTAAACGAACCGAATATACTTAAACGAACCGAATATGTTCAATATATTAAATGAACCAAATACGAATCTTAAAAAATATATGAACCGAATTCGAATATCATTTTATCTTAACGAATACGAATATTATTCATGAATATTCGATTGGATTTGGTTCGTTTACAACCCTACTCCCCATATACTACTTTTAGTTAATAAGTTGTGGGGTCCAACTCTCTACTCTATGTCTCTATCTTGGGTTGTTGGACCTATCGATTGATTCTTAGGCCCAATATATATATCTATTTTGAAACAGAGGCTCTATATGGGTCTCATTTTCTTGCGTAAAAATTAAAATAAAAATCTATAAAATTTCAATGTTACATATCTGCAATGGTCTAAATAGATATCGTTTTATTTATGATATTTACTTATTTTTCAGAAGCTCAATCCTTTGGAGTTCTTTGAAGACGTTCTAATCGAGAGGGAGTGAGACTCATCCATCCCTTGACACCCATATCTATAAATATACGGAGTATAAACCATGTTAAATCCACCCCTAATTTGACAAAATCCATGTTAATCAATAATTTTTCCCTCTATCGCCTTTCTTTTTTAAATAGTTAAGGTTAACCATGTGTTTTCAATCTAAATGGGTGGATATAGCCAAAGGAGGGGTGAATTTAGCAATAACCAATGTATTTCATGTGTGGCAAAAGATTACCAAAAAGGCATTAATTTTTCTCTTAATCTATTAGTTGATATATATATATATATATATATAACACACACACACACACACACATAAATGGTTCATTTCTTGATTGACATGGTGTATTTTATAAAACAGGTAGTTCATCATGGTTCATTTTTAAAAGCAGATAGTACATTTCACAAAGTTTGATTTAATTAAATAATTACCACCACGCTTTTCCTAGTTTTTTCTAATTTTTCAAATTTTTATGTCCGTTAAATCTTGCATTCTAAAACACTACATGCATATTTATTTCTTTAGTAACAGCTCATTCTCACCAGAAAGAGAGAGAGATTTATATACCCGTATGTCTGTGTGTGTTAGAAATTCAAAATATTTATGTTGTGGTGCGGCAGGTATGTGGAATGCACTTCTTCAGCAATTCAAAGTCTTTCATATTTCCAAAAGTTACATCCCCAACACAGAAAATCTGAAATCAAAAGTAGCATCCAAAGAGGCATACGATATGTGGAGAAGATGCAAAACCTCGATGGGTCATGGTAAGCATTAAGCAATTGATTACTCCGTATTCAAATAATAAAAAATAAATTTATTATTGTCAGCACACTTTGAAAAATAAAATTTTCCAAGTTCCTTAAGTACCTGTTAAAAGGATCAAAACCTCCCATCTTCTTAGGGACGAAGGGAGTGCATTATTTTTAGGGAAAATACAAAAAAGGTAATAAAACAATGCAACTTTCCTAATATAAAACTAGTAATACCATAAACCTTTTTTTAATTACGTCAGCAGCACCAATTGACTAATATAACCCCAACTCTTATGTGATTGAATTTCAAGAATTGATCTGGGCATTTAACACTCTTCCGCGACTGAATTAAAAGATTCTAGCGGGCACTGAACACTTTGGGAAAACAAATGGACATTGACTTTCAAAAATCCAGTAGACATTGAATTTCAAAAATCCAGGGGCCTATCCAGGTCTATAGCTAGAGAGAGAGAGAGAGAGAGCCGCGCTAAAGATTATCGCCGCTCACTACCGATGTTACAATGTTCATTGCCAATGCTACAATGTCCAGTTTGCCGTCACCCACCGCCGATGTCACAATGTCCACCGTCAATGATATCATAGCTGCCTCCTACTGTCGATGTCAAAATGTCAACTTTGTCGCCGACCACTGTCGATTTCACAATGTCCACCGTCGATGTTACAATGTCTATCTTGCGGCCATCTACCACTTATGTCACAATGCCTACCATCGATGTTAAAATGTCCACCTTGTCGTCGCACATCACTGGTGTCACAATGACATCTATCTAGTTGAATAATGTCCTTGTATAATACGTATGTTAATGTCCTTTGATTCATCACAGAGACATTGTGTCAATTTTCTATGTTGACTTGTTTATCCATCAATGTCTTTGGTTCTTCTCCAAAACTATACATCGAGTCGCCAGATTTGAATCACGGAGAAAAATTGTAGATGATCATGTTCGATCGAAGAAGACGGTGAAAGGCAAGAATTGAGTTGTGCAAGAAAATGGAAAGAAATCTAGAGTTTGAGAGAGACGAGCCTGATTTGATTTAGGCATGGGGAATGGGAGGCTAAAAAGAAGTCAAGTTGAAAATGGTACTATTCAAGGAATAAATGATAATTAGTACCATAATGGGAAAAGTAATGACTTTTAATACTATCCGTAGCAAATTTGACTATCAAAAAGTATTGTGAAATGTCTATATACAATGTCACATCAAATCGTAGTTTTTATTTTGGAGTTAAAAATATTGAGTATCTATTTTCATATTTTCTCTATGTTTTTTTACCTATGTAGGATGATTTCTTTTATTCTTATTAAAATTAGACAAAATCAGATCAAATCTACTTTGAAACAGCTCTAAATAAAACTACAATAGGTTAGACAAGATTGTCCGTATGGAGTAAAGGCCCAATAAGCTATTCACATTCATATTCCACGTACTTTTTCAAAACCTTCAGAAGACAACAATTCAAAATGATCAGTAAAATTTCAAAAGAGTATTACGGGTGCCTAATTATAAGATAATCGCCTGCAACACAAAACAATGAGAAACGAAGACACTATAAAGGATGTTATGGCACACAAAATATATTGATACGAAGGGTGATAAAACAACCACAAAGTCCCACACAGTTGAGGATGATAACAAGGGAAACGTAATAACACGTGCACTACAATCAAAAAAAGCATTTTATCTTTTTTGGATTCTACCTCTTCAACACTCTCATGTCCGTGTGCCATGAATTAGGGTGTAAGACTTGAAGTTTTATAGTGATGCATTTTGCCCTAGCTCAGTTCCTGATGAAGACTCGCGTAGGATCAGGTAGCATTAGAACTCCAAGTCCTAACACGTTAAGACTCTTTTTTTAATTTGCATCACCGGTTTTTAGCACAAGGACATCTCATATCATGGATAAATATAAGGACAACGTGTTGGTTATTTTATAGTCACCGGCTATTTTATGTAATTGAGATTTACTTAAAATAGAGGAGAATTTAAATAGACTTTGTTATCAAGTTCGGAGGTGCGGAGTGCAGTCTCGTTTAATTATATTAAAAAATTCTATAGCTAGGGTCCAAGGGAGTAGCCCTTGGGAGTAGGGTTGTAAAACTAACGAATCAAATCGAATATTATGAAATTTTATACGTATTTGAAAAATGATGCCTTAATTCATATTCATTTTTTATTCAAATAATTATTACTCTTTGTATTTGGTTCGATATTAAATTCATATATTTGGTTCGCATTCGTATTCAATTACAAAGTTTCAAAATTTGATTTATTTTACATTTTATAGCTTCAAAATTATTACCCCACAAATTAATTATATTTTGTACTACGAATGACATGTACCTAACAACAATCCAATTACATCCCACGAGATTAGGGTCTGGGGAGAGTGTGGGTACACAAAGATTTCCCCTACGGAGTACTCTATATAAATTCTGCTTTCTATTTATTATGAAGTAAATACATTAGGCTTAAATGTTTATATTTAAATTCGAATATATTCGTTTATATATCGAATCGAATACATATAAATTTGTATTTGTATTCATTTCCTTTCAAATTCTAATAAATATTTATATTATTATTCATATTCATTTTTTTGAATACGAATCATTGATTTCGAATATGGATCACGAATCAAATCAAAATTATTCATTCATTTTACAATACTACTCGGGAGCAAGTCTAGAGGGTAGAGCCCCTCGCTGGGGTCGAGTTAAAAATAATGAACTTGTTTATATTTTGGACATCGTTGCTTTATGAAAATCTTTTTGATTTTCATATATGGATTTCAAAATACAAAAAATTCGAATGTACAAATCAATACATTTGGATGTTCTGTTTATCCAAAGAATCTGTGTGAAACTGCTCGATACATTTGAATGTTTGAACCCAAACATTTGAATATTCTGCGATAAGTTGTAACTGTTCGCACTTAACTGCAGAAGTAAGAGCCCAAACTAATCTGCCATTGAATGTTTGAGCACCAACAATCGAATGTTACCCAAGGGTTTTGTTATTTCATCAACAAGCGCATATCTTCGGAAATTTGCTTGAAAATACAATGTGCGGGTTATGTTTCGAGACACCAAAAATTCCATACTCATTCTAGATTACTTATGTCTTATCAATTGAAGTATTTTAGTATGCCCCCAAAATAACTTTAATCTGGAAGCGTTGATACACGATTTACCAAGTCTATCAAGTCATTATTCACGTTCTTCGTATACTGATCCTATAACGCTGCTTCGCAATGTTGTTATCCCTCCCAATTCCCCCAACACAGCACACATCTCCAAAGTTGCAAGAGTTTTTCAAGAAAGGATGATACAAGACATACCACGATGATTGACGAGATGCTAAAGTTCTCTACAAACAATCAAAATAGCATTAAACAAAGCTAAGTAGAATTATTTGTTTGTCAAAAATAATGTCAATGGGAGTTACCAAAAAATATTAATCGAGTAGAATAAGGAACTTACGAATACTCCCTAGACCTTCTGTGCCACTATTTTTCACTTTTACAATTTCTCTAACTACTGTTTTTCAAATACAATACTCCATCCGTCCTACAATCTCTTTCTCCTTATTTGTTTGTGTGTCCCATGATACCCTTCTCCTCTCTATTAAAAACTACTTTTACCCTTACTAATGTTTATCCTATCTTTGAAAGCATACATATTCACTAATAATATACCATCACGTCCTAGGTTTTACACATCACATCAAGGGTAATTTGGGATAGTCAATGCAAAAACATCTCTTCCTTAAATCTCTCAAAAGTCAATACAAGGACTTTATGGGATAGAGGAAGTATTTTGTAAAATTAGTGTGGCTCATTTTATTTTTATTGTTTTTAATTTATTTTAGAATCAGTATAAACAACACTTTTATAGTTTTCTGAACTTTAGTGTTGTTACACCATGTAAGTATGTAATAAAAACACTAGAATGAATGAGTGCATAAGTTTTAATCACAATCTAACCTTATAACAAGTCAAATCATGTATAAGAATTCAAAACGGAGGAGAATTCCGAAACAGTTCTTTGGTATCAATGTGTTGTTTTAGGATGTAGATGAACAAACTCAACCAAAAGTTTAGCGTTATGGTTGTTGGCCAAGAAAGATTTCTTGTACTCTATAGTATGCCCTATTAATTTATGTGCTGGCAAGATTAGTTTTAGCTCGATCTTTGTATGTAAACATTACTTAGGTGGTGTGGTTAGAACATCTGACCTCTAGGTTTACGTGGCTTTGATAACATGTCATCGAGGTACCAACTCAATCAAAACGTCCAACATAGAACGTTCTAAAATAAAGATTTTGTTTCTCTTAATAAATAAATTGTATTTCATTTTTTTACTTTAATCTTATAACTTTTAATTGAAGAATCTATTGTTCATTAATTTTTCAAAATAATCAATGGCACAATCATTTTGAAATGAAATGAAACAACTAAGAGTGGTTATTTGCATGCAGGACGGGTAATTGGGGGAATTGTTTTACGTACGCGACATGGTTTGCTGTGGAAGCATTGGCAACATGTGGGAAAAATTGCAACAATAGTGTTGTTGTGCGTAAAGCTTGTCAATTTTTGCTCACAAAGCAGCTCCCTGATGGGGGATGGGGAGAGAGTTATCTATCTAGTTCAAAAAAGGTCAGTTTGATCATTAGATGCACAAAGTTCTTTGTCTAGTTGGTGAGGGAATGGATATTAAATTGTGATCTACGAAATATAGAACCCTGAGTCATCTATATATAAAGGGCTAATTAAATTAAATATTACTCCCTTCGGTTTAAAAATTTCTTCCCAATTACTTATCAAACTTTCATCGTATTCTTTACTCATTTTCATTACTCATTTGAAAAACATATAGTCAAGTCACCTCTTATTTGTAAGACTTTTGATATAGTTTTTCAATGTATAAATTTTATTTTTAAATTTATACGTATAATCAAATAATTTAATTAGAAATAACTTAACTCAAACCTTATAAATCAAAATGGAAAAAAAAGGATTATGGAAGGAGGGAGTATAAAATAAACATATATCAATATAACCTCAAATGCACCATTATATATATATATATATATATATGTATGTATGTATGTATATATATATGTATATATATATGTATATATATATATATATATATATATATATATATATATATATATAGATTTTGGTTCAAATGAGAATGCGATCTTATGAAAGAAATAAGAATGAATCTGGTGCTTTAAATTGTGAGATCTAAGGGTGAGGATTGCATCAAAATTAGGTGCACCAAAATGATTTGAAAATGCATCATGTCAAAATGCAACAAAATTCTTTAAAAATGCACTATCTCAAAATCTGAGTGCAAGATGCAATCTGAGCCGCACGATGCATCAGATCCAAAGGCTAGATTTCATTCTTATTTCTTTCACCAAGGTGCATTCTCACCTGAACCGCCCCCTATATATATATATATATATATATATATATATATATATATATATATATATATATATATATATATATATCTATATTCGTGTGTGCATTTGTGTATATTGAATGATGATTTACATTATATTACTAGGTATACACAAACCTTGAAGGAAAGAGATCACATTTAGTTCACACTTCCTGGGCTTTGTTAGCTCTTATTGCAGCTGATCATGTAAGTATCCATTTCTCCATATAATGCTTGGGAATGCATGTTTTTCTAACAAACACACAAGTGTGTGTGTGTGTGTGTGTGTAAAATCTTGGTAGCGAGACAATGATGATATTGATGAGAATGTGATGACACCACCTTCGAGAAAAATAAGAAAAGTAATCATAATTGCTCCGTATTAATAAAGTGATAAAATTTGGAATTGTATTTCATTATTTTAATTGAAAGAGCCTAACAAAGTGCTCTATTCCATACTAAAGTTCTATTATGAACATTTAGCTCTAGTCTTATCATCAAACATTATAAATCATTAATTTTGTGTCAAGCCTAACAAAGTGTTCTCTTCTTTGTATGAGGGGAAGATATTATCTTTAAGTACTATATATATGTATATATGTATATATAAATATAAGACTATTATAGTTTATGTGTTTCTAGTTATTTTCAGCAGGTAAATAGCGGCGGATCGACGTCCGCCAGTAAATGTTCGCTGGTAAAACTGCGATTTTTAGTAGTATAAGATGAGTCTAGAATGTTGTAGAGTTGTGAAGCTTATAAATATGAGCCTGAAAAGCAGAGGTTGTCAGAGCCGGTCTGAGCCAGATGACAAGCTTGTAATTGGGCATCAAGAACGGACCATTAATCAAAGGCAATTTTCGGCTTATATTTGTGAGCATTGTGAGTGATGGCGATGATGTGGCTCCATCAATATATCCATGGAGATTGTGAGCAACAAGTTCTTCTTGAATAGTTGAGGACCAAGATGGAAAATTGTTGTCATATAATTTGACAAGGATTAAAGAAAAAATATTTTGAAGAAATAGTTTAAGTCTAGGGGGAATATTCTAGAGGGGATCATCATCCCCTATATCAGAAGTAGCCATTATAAACAAAAGGGATGGTCACAACTTTTCAACAGTGACCATGCATGGCTCTTTGCAACAGTGGTGGCGCGAGGAAAGGTTATTGGAGAGGAAAACCATGCATGGCTCTTGATATCATGATGAAATAGTGGAATAATATAATATGGTTAATAACAAATAATGAGAGATTCAAACCTAGTGTATATAGGGTACTTCATAAAGACTAGGAAACAATAAAATAATAGAAACAAAATATAATAAAAATACTCGTTTATACAGAGTATTTATTATTATTATTATTATTATTACTATTATTATTATAATTATAATTATTATTACCAATACTATTACTACTACTATTAAATTTCATGGAAAAGAGTCCCCAAGTCTTTTGATTTTACAGGTTACTTACAATGTCAAACAATGCATCGTGTTAATATCCTAATATATTTGCAATGCTTTCCCATTTCAGAAGGATGTTGATCCAACACCGATTCATCAAGGCATCAAATTTATAATAAATTCACAAATGGAAGATGGAGACTACCCCCAAGAGGTACATACACACAGACACACACACAGATATATAATGCATCTGTTTACTTTCTCATATACTCGTGCTATAATGCATTTTATAATAATTAGTTCCGATTTATGGGGTCCAACTTCTATTTCAGAAGAGATCATCTTCATAAGTCATCACATTTGCGGAAGAAGCTTCCTTTGATTTGCCCTTCTTCTCCTTTAGGATCTGCAAGTCCTCCTTGAGTTCTGGACAACCGTTCTTCGTGTGACCCAACTTTTCACAGTAATAGCACCTAACAGTGCTCATGTCTCTCAGCTGAGATCTTCTCCGAAGTTGGTCACTCTTCTTCTTCCTCCCTTTCTCAACACTAACAGCAGCTAGTAAATGACTGTCCCCGGAAGACTCTTCACCTCCCATCATCCTTTGACTCTCCTTCAAAGAAGTCGTCACCTCATCTAGTCGCAGTGTAGTCCTTCCTGCTATCATTGATTGCACAAACGGCTTAAAGGATTTTGGTAGTGAAGCCAGTAGAAACAGCCCTTGCTCTTCGTCCTTGATAGTCTCCCCTGCATTTAACAGCCTTGATACTTGCTCATTAAACTTGTTGATGTGATCAATTACGCTACCTCCCTCTTCCATCTTCGGTGAGTACAAGTCCATCCTCATCATCAACCGGTTAGTAAGTGTCTTCGACGCAAACTTGCTCTCCAACGTTTCCCACAGCTTCTTTGGTGATGTCTCTTTCAGCACTGTCACTTTAATCTGTGGGGGACAGTGCCAACCGAATCGTGCTGACAGCCTTCTTCTGGATTGTACTCCACTCTGATTCTTTCATATCACTTGGCTTCTCATCTTGCAATGCTAATTCAAGACCTTGCTGGACCAAGTAGTCTTGAATCGTGCATTGCCACAACATGAAGTCCGCTCTTCCATCAAATAACAGAACTTCAAACTTCAAGGTAGTCATAGTTCCACTCAAGCAGCAATCAACCAATACCAAACAATCCAAATTTGAGGAAACTGGCCTAAAAATGGAATTAGGACGTCAAAATTAGTCAGAACCAACTTCTCTCTAAAAATCACCAACGGGACCCACACGATGACTGGACTTGTTGACGTGGCGATGGGACCCACTGATGACTGGAACCGCTGACGTGGCGATGACTAGATGATGACGTGGCACTCGGGACCCACAAATTACTGACGTGGCACTCATGGACCCACCTCTGCTGACTGGACCATCACCTCCTCTGCTCAAGTGGCGCTCCCTCCTCTTGCTCCTTGCTCTATCTCCTTCACCCTAGACTGCAACTCTGTAATTAATAATTCTTTTATGATGTGGAAGATCAGTAATAGCTGCAACCACAGAGCATATTAAGAATTATAATTACCAGATCACCTTGGCTCTGATACCACTTGTTAGGCCCTCTACTGCAAACTAATGGAAAGGAAAGATAAAAAAAGAGCACACAAAATATTTAACGTGGTTCGGCACCTCAAGACCTACTCCACGACCCCCTCTGAGATAAAATCTCACTAGTAATTTTTGCACGGAAAAATTACAAACCCTCTCCAATATTTGACACTCACAACCTAAAATCTAATACACAATTATATAGATTGAAGGATTGTGTTGTGTGTTGGAAGCCTATACACCCTCTCTATTTATAGGCTCCAATCCCTTCTCAATTTTCCTATCCCACCGATGTGGGACTTTGAAGTAACACTCAACCGTTATATCATCATATAAACCACAAACTTCAACCATGTTCTAAGTCACGTGTCTTACTTAGGTAGCATATAAGGTTTCAAGGTTACTACGGTCTAGGCCCTATTACCAATCAATTATGTCTTTCGCCATATATGTCATGTTCGTTGAAATAAAGTTTTCTTATGAGACTCTTTTTTCTGTGTCAAATCTAGGATCCAAGTCCTTCGTCAAAACCCTTCAACTATATTTCTTTCATGCTCAGGGAGCACCATATCATTCTCGTCTAAATCACCACTCTCAAACCGACACCCACCTGCACCCACATTAACTACCAAACCCAGAACCTCCCCACACTATAATCAACACCTAGTCTCCACTTGAAATGCATTCACCCATTGCTACACCAACCTCAAATCCAAATTCCACATCTATTCAGTTTGGCGACTTTACCTCATGAAACCACTCTACCACTCTCTACACTCCAACCACTGCCACCAGCGCCACAACACAATCAAAATCTGATGGTCACTCATGCTAAATGGGTACTTTTAAATCTAAAACTTAAGTTGCCTTTAAACCACCCACAACCTTACTCAAACAACACACCTATTATAGAATTACTTTTTACAATCACTATTAGAATCTAGCAAGGGATGAGAAATGTGTTCACAACCTTGAAAGATCATAAAATATGGCATTTGGTTCCTTTTGTGTTCTCAATGTATTAATTTTGGTTATAAACGGGCCTATCTTATTATGTATAACAATATTTTCGTTTTTACTACAAACCCAGATAGTGACAAAGGGCTATAATCATGAGTACGAGCTTGACTATTTGGAGACATTTTGTCTTATTGGGAAATAGCAGGCTATATGGTTGGTTTTTTTTGTTACTCTTTAGGAATTGGCACATTCCCATATGTATGCACTGCCTAGCTTCTTACATGGAGACTTACCGAAGATATTTACATGGAGTAGCCACTATGAAATATTGATCAATAGTTTCCATATAAGATTGTCAAATTTAAGAAATCCTTAAATGACTTATCATATTACACCTCACTTTAGGATTTTGTTCGTGGATCCACGGAACTACCGTCTTTACACATCATTTAAAGCATGGCATGCACCAGTATAATTTTTGTTTATAATGATGATATTATTGTCACATGCGGGGGATATGACAATTCTTTAAGAGAGAAACAGAGAGAGCGAACCATATGGTCTCTTACTTGTCTTTAACTATACCAAGAAGAGGGTGTTTAGGGTTTCATTTGAAATATACTTATGAGCTTTTGCTTTGTTAAAATACTGTTTTTCGTGTTTGCTAATATGTATCTGCTTATAAATTATGAATTCTACAGTTTAAACTCGACTCTAGAAGTGCTTTTAAGCAAAATTAAGAATATTTACCTTTTGATTCTACATAAAACTTTTGCTTTTTCAATAACTTACCAGACTCCCAAATACCCTCAAAATACTCCTTGGAGCTTTTTATGCCATGTTGATAGTGGAGGCTTGCGCCAGGCATCCTCTACTCTAACATGATTCACTTTCACAGTATTGTTTGTGGCTTTTAATATCTTGCAATTACTGATCTCGATATTCATTAGGCTACAAAGAAAATTGTTCAATAGATGAACCATCTTAGGGAGAAATACTATCATTTCTTGATGCATTTCGATAGTATAACGACTCGCGTACGAAACGCTTTCAGATCAAAGTTATTTCGGGGTATACAAAATATTTCAATCGGATAAGACGTTAATCAAGAACAAGTACTCGAAAATCCGTTATCAATCCATACCACGAGACTCTATTTTATAGAATCAAAAATTTCTTGATCGGACATGACCGTTCGCGTACACGTATGCGTACGTTCGCGCGGAGAAGAGGCGCGAGAAGTTTCTGCGGCTTTTGGAGTAAATTTCGACGTTATCCACTCGTTGGAGTCCTTTACTGTTTTGGACTCCGATCACAAAAATCTTAAGGATTTTCATAAAGAAACAACGTCCGAAACAACAGCTCGACCCCGGCCACCCCGCTACCCGGGGGCTGCCGCCCCCGCACCCTGCTTCCCTGCAGTGAATTTGTAATATCGTTGAACGAGCGCGCACTCCGCGCCTCCTAACTCGTTTATTAACGTCTATTAAAATTCTTGGCTGATCTAAGTAAATTCAATTACACAAAATAAACCGATGACACTAAAATCACCAACAACATTTTATAGTAATTCCATGGGACATTACAACATGTGATTTTAGAGTAATTCCATGGGACATTGCAACATGGTCTTTTATTTCGCCTCAAAGATATGTAGCTACAAGAGTATTATTCTGCTTTTGTTTGGGTGCTTGCGACACGTATCATCAAAAGTCGATATCTAATTTTAATATCATAGGCTCTAAGCTCATCTCTTGGTGCACAATGAAGAGATCAAAGGTGTCACCGTCACCGATCATGGTCGAATACCATGCGCTAGCAGGTGCAGTCAATGAGATAATTTGGACCGCCTACGTAGAATCTAGTTCTCCACAGTTATATAAATCATATAAACATAAATTGTCAAGATGAGTTCTAGTCTGAAAACATGGCTATTATCCTACGAAAAACTCTTCGCAGATATTCCTTCAAAGCCACACTCTCTCAAGACTTTTTCATATCTTTGTTCCCTGTTTCGCTTAGCTAACTCATCTTAGCTTGCATAAGAATAATAGCAAAGAGTAACAATTGTAATTCATATAATATTAAGTATTATCTATTGTAGTATTTTAATGTTAGAGAATATTCTATTTTTGTAGTTTCTTATATATTTTAAGTCACTTCTAAAAAAATTTGACTACAAATTCAACTAAAATTGGAGAGTGCAATTGAAGGGCTCGGGTCACGTCGAGCCAGGGTAAGTGGGTTTACCAAAGGGGTAGGGGTTAGGAACTGTCAGTTTTTTTTAACAGAACATCGTAGTGGCCTCAATTTGCGCCGGGTCATTGTATGACATTGGAGTTCAATGCCACTTGAACCTCTCTGTATCATCATTATTGTTAATAGAATTAAAGAAAATGAGTAAAACTTGAATATGTAAATAGTAAACATGCAACTAAATTTGGACCGATGAAGTATTTATTATGTGTGTGTGTTGAACTATGAAAAAGTACTACTAACATTCAAATAATTGGATTTCAGGAAATTTCTGGAGCATTTATGAGGCATTGCACGCTAAACTATGCATCATATCGAAATATATTTCCCATATGGGCACTTGGTCAATACCGTAATCTTGTTCTGATTTCTTAAATATTGATATGTAACGCATAAGGGCACTTAGACAATGTTGAATTGTCATCATCTTTTTCTCTTTTAAAAAATATTACAATGTATATGAATGCTTAAAAGGTTGTGCATTGACCCCATAAAGTAAAACCTCATTATACTCTATAAATATCAAACTAGTGTTAACCATATATTTTAAACTTTTGACATTTTAGAAATATTATTTTATTTTCAAATAATGATAGGGAGTGTTATATAAAGTATTTTTTAACTATAAAATAAATTTGTTCTAATTTATTCCCTCTGTCCCAATATAAATTAAATCGATATTGAAAATTGTAGTAGAATTATAAAATAAAATTTATAAATCTAAAAACTACGTCAAAAATTCTACAAAACAAGGGGCAACATGAGTATATATATTATTTTATCAAATGAGTAAAAAAAGTGGTTAAAGTTTGATTATGTGAATAGTAAACACAAGCAATATAAATTGGGACGAAAAGAGTATTATGGATTAAAATTCTTAAATTAGGAAAACTTTGCTATTCGGTGTAAACATTAAACATATCCTTTATTGTTACTTAGCTTTGCGATCTTACTTTTTTTACATACTATGAAAAAAGTGTTACAACAAATATTATAATATCATTTGAGTATGTGAGTCATTTACGGAGGAGTATTTTTTAGTACAATCGAACCCGCGGGCCAGCACGATCCCAACAAATAATACTAGAAATAAGTAATAATAGTACAAAAATAACAATAATTGTAATAAATTGATAATTATAATAAAAACAATAATACTTATTATTGTTATTATATAAATATAATACACATACGTACCTTTATGAAGAAAAGAAGAGATTAATAAGTTCATTTAATCAAATGAATATATTTATCATTGCTCATCACTAATTAATAATGAATGTAAAAGAAAAATTGTTATCATACAATATAAAGCATGTAACAATATTATTTGATCCATTAATAGTGTATTCATTTTAATTTTTATATCAAACATGTAATATACTAAGACATTGTTTTATATTTTAAAATAATCTTTATTTATTTAAAACTTATTAAAGTGTAAATCGGTCTGGCTCAAAACCCGCAGATACCCAATAAGCCGGGCTTGGTTTTCAACTGTTAAGCCCATTATATGACTCGGGCTGAAGTTTGGGAAATTTTCGTAATTTTCTTGGACCGTGCTACCGTGCACCCGCCCCTGCCTCCTTTGCTGCCTCCTTATTTAAGCTTTTTTTTAACTTTTCTCCTTCTTTTTTTTCTTTTTTCTTTCCTCTACGACCCGTTCGCAGGTCGCCGCCGACCGGTTCCCCTACCCTTCACCGTCGACCTGTTCCCAGTCCCTCACCCCACCCTTCGCCGGCCTGTCCCTAGTCCCACCGGCCAATTACCCTACCCTTTGTCGTCGACCTGTTCCAAGTCCCTCACCCCACCCTTCGCCGCCTGTTCTTGCCGGCCAGTTACCCTTCGCCGTCGACCTCTCCTTAGCCGCCGACCCAGCCTCTTCCTTCGCGGCCTGTTCTTATCACTTTTACTGCTTTTCTTGAATTGTTACAATTTTTCTGCTATACTCCGTATTTTTTTGAATTTTTGTGTTATAATTTTTTTGAATTTTTGTGTTATACATTTTTTGAATTTTTGTGGAGTACATANNGGTATTTGGTGATTATGGACTTACAAACATGTATTGTTACACATGTTGAGAATGATCAACCACATGATTTTGGTGGTGAAGAAGAAGACCTGGTTTTATATGACTTGCAGCCCAGTTGTAAGTGTTGATATTTAGACCCCATTCTATATTCATTTGAAGTAGTGAAAAAATACTGTTTTATTTTGGTGTTACAGAGATTAAAGTTCTGTGAACCTAGGGTTTGTCCTTGTCACAGATGCTAATAATCTGTATGCATTTGGTGTATTTTTGTTTTCTTCATAGTCAGGCATTGTATTATATTAAACGTGCTGTTTTTTTGCAGCTTTTGAACCAGATTTGTTTCTTAACGATCCTTTTTTTCAATATTTATTTAACGACGAAGGGCAAGAACAGGCGAGTGGTGAGACCGGACAGAACACATATGACATTAACAATGATGTCCGGAACAATGGTCCGTGTTCCACCTGAGGCCAACAATGCAATTGGGATGTGAAGCTAGAGTAACTGCGTCATGTAACAAATATGATAACTTTCTCTGAGTTCCATTCACATAAACTGATGTAAACATGATGTAACTCTGTCTTCACATACATTAAGTCTCTGTGGAGTGTGTGACATAGACAGTTATTCCATGTGAGCACCATGAAATCTAATGTATGCGTTTTAATTTTCTTTTTACCTTTACAAGACCCCCACATATGTGATAAGATTCTGAAGATGGTGTATGTGCATAAAGTTATGTAACTCTGTCGTCACATATATTAAATCTCTGTGTAATGGGTAAAATAAACAGTTATTCTCTGTGAGGGCTCTGAAAGTAAATCTGTAAATCAGTCATAAACTAATGTAAATCAGTCATCACATACATTAACAAATTGTGCATTAACAAGTAGAAATTCATGATTATAAAATCCCCATTACAAAGCTTGCAAAAAAATCTAAAGTGTTTCCCCAAAAAATACATTACAAAGCACAAAAACCATTACAAAGAGTTTCACAAAAATTAAAGACCCCTAAAATTGTAAAGTAAAAAAGCTAAATATTGGTTCTTTTCCTTCCACGCCATAACCTAGCTGCAAATTGACATCGGAAATC